TAAGAATCCAGAAGGGGAAAATACTGGTGTGTTTGTTCAGTAAGAATCAATGACATCACACCCCAACTACACAATAGTATTTTCCATCCTCAGTCCTATAAAAGCCTGCTCCCATTCAGACCTCACTACCTTTTGCCACCATGAATGCACTCCTGGTCCTGGCCCTTGTGGGAGCTGCTGGTGAGTTTCAAGCTGTGTCCAACCTTCCCTAGCATCTTATTTTCAACCTTTGTAATTTTCCAGGCTTCAGTTTACTCTTGTCTCCCTCTATGCACTCTCCACAACATCCTTTGTTGAATTCATGGCCTAGATTACTGAGGCAGAAAGGGAGGCAAAACTGAGGGTGCATAAAATTTACCAGGTGACATATTCCTTAGCAGCAACTGCACTGGGAATCCAACAACATAGTTCTTGATGAATTTCAGACAGAAGAATGGTAACTGACATGTAATCAGACCCTTTGGCGTGTATTCTCAGGTCATTTCTTCTGTGCTTTTCCTGGAACTCTGAGTATTTCTGCTCTGTAGTCCTTTCCCCTGGCAGATATCTGAGTGCTGACTACTGGGGACAGTGATTTCCCTGCTTTCTCTTAGTCATTCTGCTCAGATAGTAATACTAAAATAGTGGGAAGGTGATAAGGTGCTGAGCAATCCACCCTCCAACAACCTGATGAATTGGTTCTTTTGCTTCCTCTCTAGTTGCTTTCCCTTCTGAGACTCTAAAAGCAAGATACAGGTGGTAAAAACAAATAATAGATGGAAAACTAAAAGAGTCCTTGGGCAAAGCTGACTTGCAATGGGATCCCAAGGTTTGTGTTCTTAGTTAGTTCCTGATAGTCCAGCCCTGATGCTCAGAAGAGATCTGGGGCTTTTGGGAACTCTCTATCTGTCCTACAGATGCCAGTAGTGGGAAGTGCTACAATCTATGTTACCCATAAGACACAGTGATCTGAGTTTTCCTACACTCACCGTACTCAGTAAAAATCCTAAGGGTTTAAGCTGTCATAGAGCCAATGGCTTCACTATCTAGCACCCTGATACATTGGTTTATTCTCATTTCATATCTCCATTCAAGTTGCTTTTCCTGTTGACGATGATGACAAGATTGTTGGAGGATACACTTGCCAGGAGTATTCTGTGCCCTACCAGGTGTCTCTGAACTCTGGGTACCACTTTTGTGGAGGTTCCCTCATCAATGACCAATGGGTGGTGTCTGCTGCTCACTGCTACAAGAGGTAAGCAATGGGCCCCTGGATGCAGAGCTCATGGCCTGGGACATGATTAGAACATAGCATTGGGCAAGTGGGGATGTTGTAAGGTGACTAGGGAAAGCCATGAAGAAAAGAATTGTTGGCAGTTGCTAAGTATCATTAGCAAAAGTGAAATTTGATCCAGAATAGAAATCCTTTTACTTCCCCAAACAAACCCATGATATAGCAAGGATGATGGGCCATTAAACCCTGACAAATTGATCTGGTTATCATAGACACCAGTGATAAAGTCAATCAAGAAGTTTCTATTAGGACGACTAGCTAAAATGAATAATAACCTCTAAGTTTTCAGAAATCAAGCTAAATATTGGTTAAATCAATGCAGTCTCTACTGTGTATTCTCAGTCCTGAATATGTATCACAAAGATGACAAGGTTTCTTAAAATACTGAACACAGGGCTAGATTCTGGCTCAGTATTTCTGGATTTGGAAGCCAGAATGTAAGCTTCTCTCAGGGTCCTATGTCACACTTGTGTGGGTCCTGGTACAACTCTTGGGTCTCCACAGGATTAGGTTCTACATAGTAATAGTTTTTAACAAAACAAGAAGTATTTGTCATAGTTCCTTCTCCAGTTAACAATGACTCAGAGGGTGAAGTGTACATCAAATGTCAACATGGGTCCACTACCAAGGATGTATCAGAGTCTGTAGTATGACAGGTTAAAAAGCAGCCCAAACTGAACTCCTTTATATTATACCCTATATACCAAGAACCTCTGTAGATGAAAGATTCTGCCTAATCAGAAACTGTCCATCACTGAAGAGTTTCTCCTCTGAGCTACTCCTGTACATAAAGTTTGGAACCTGTGGTGTGTTTGGGATAATGTGTAGAAACTCTGAAACATGTCTTTTCTTTCCTACAGCCGCATCCAAGTGAGACTGGGAGAGCACAACATCAATGTCCTTGAGGGCAATGAGCAGTTTGTCACTGCTGCCAAAAGCATCAGGCATCCCAAATTCAATTCGAAGACCCTGGACAATGATATCATGCTGATCAAGCTAGCTTCTCCTGTGACCCTTAATGCCAGAGTGGCAGCTGTAGCTCTGCCCACCTCCTGTGCACCTGCTGGCACTCAGTGCCTCATCTCTGGCTGGGGCAACACCCTTAGCTTAGGTGGTAAGTATGACATTTACCTACTCCATCCTTTCCTCCCCATGTTTCCAAAACCAGACATGTCTCTGGATTTGAACTTATTTGCTTTTGCTTTCCAAATATGTTTGAACTACTAACTATAAGAAATATATCGTAAGTAAAAAAAGGACTAAAAACTACCAAAATGTTCACTTCCTGTAACATAAGAGAACAAATATACACTTTGTTATTATATTGAAAACAGGATCAACAATAGCCATTTTATAGTTTGAGAAAGATTTAATTCTTTGTTGGAATTTATATACTTAATGAATTCTCTGGCAGTTAGCCATGAATTATAACAACAATAAATTATTGTTCCCCAGGGTGCTCTAATACATATTTATCCTTTGATCACTACCTCTTCTCAAAGTGAATAACCCAGACCTGCTCCAGTGCCTGGATGCCCCACTGCTGACTCAGGCTGCCTGTGAAGCCTCCTACCCTGGGAAAATTACCAACAACATGGTCTGTGCTGGCTTCCTTGAGGGAGGCAAGGATTCCTGCCAGGTGAGTGGCTCCCTTTCCATATGAAACCCTTCTTTTCCTGGGAGAGAGATTTGAGAGTTCAGATTTGTGAGACTAGAAAGATTATGCAGTGGGATCAGGGAAAGTGCTCTCTACCCTGGATGTCCTTTCATCTCATTAGTAAGATTAGAGGATGTATTTCAATGAAAAACATATGGAGTCAGAAGGTGACTAGAATGGGTCTTAATGTAAGAGCAGATGTGACCCTTTTTCTTCATGCCGCTTCTTTAAACACTGTATTTCTCCATTGCAGGGTGACTCTGGTGGCCCTGTGGTCTGCAATGGACAACTTCAGGGCATCGTCTCCTGGGGCTATGGCTGTGCCCAGAAGAACCTCCCTGGTGTGTACACCAAGGTCTGCAACTATGTGGACTGGATTCAG